ATCCCTTCCCTCTGCCGAGTATTGTTTCAGCATTTATCACTCCCCTAGAGATAGCTACTTTAAGGAGCCCTTGTCATTTAGCCTTAGCCCTTGTCATTTAGCCTTAGCCTTAGCCTTAGCCTTAGCCTTAGCCTTAGCCTTAGCCTTAGCCTTAGCCTTAGCCTTAGCCTTAGCCTTAGCCTTAGCCTTAGCCTTAGCCTTAGCCTTAGCCTTAGCCTTAGCCTTAGCCTTAGCCTTAGCCTTAGCCTTAGCCTTAGCCTTAGCCTTAGCCTTAGCCTTAGCCTTAGCCTTAGCCTTAGCCTTAGCCTTAGCCTTAGCCTTAGCCTTAGCCTTAGCCTTAGCCTTAGCCTTAGCCTTAGCCTTAGCCTTAGCCTTAGCCTTAGCCTTAGCCTTAGCCTTAGCCTTAGCCTTAGCCTTAGCCTTAGCCTTAGCCTTAGCCTTAGCCCTTGTCATTTCTCCTTAGCCTTAGCCCTAGTCATTTGCCTTAGCCTTAGCCTTAGCCTTCTCGGTTTCTGATCTTCGCCTGGTTCCCTGGATTCACCCCTTTTGTCTTGCCCCTTTTGATTCTGTCTGCCGATCGTCGACCTGCTCTAGCCCTAGGACTATTCTTGTGTTTTGCCCACCATATACCTGTTTGCCCTCATCTGACCCATGCCTGTTTCATGACCACGTCTCTGTCTTCGTTTCAATAAAGCTTGCATATGGATCCGCACGTCTCACGTCTCGTCAGCCCCGTAACACATGTGGTGTAGGTGCTGTTTTATTTTTTAATTTTTTTAAAGGTTTTCTGAACTTTTTTTCTGCAATTCTCCAGCTGTGGTCCTTGGAGAGTCTTTAGCCACTCAAACTCTCCTCCTCACCGTGCATTAGGATGATATAGACACACGTCCTCTTCCAGGTAGATTTGTAACATTTTCTGTTGATTGGAAATTATTAATTATTGTCCTGATGGTGGAAATGGGAATTTTTACTGCGCTAGCTCTTTTCTTAAAGTCACTTTCTAATTTGTGAAGCTCAATTATCGTTTGCTGCACATCAGAAATATATTCTTTGGTTTTTCTCATTGTGATGGATGATTAAGAGAATTTGGCCTTTGTTTTCCCTCCTATTTATATTCTTGTGAAACAGGACGCCATGGCTGGATAATTTCATGTTCATAATCACCCTAGAATGCTCAAAATTGTAAATATGAATGGGAATATACTTCACAGATATTTTACTCATAAGAATTTCTAGAGGTGCCAATAATTGTCCAACGTGTATTTGAGAAAAATATTTATTTCATAATGAGATTTTCCCTCATTTTCAATTGTTTTAGTTCAATGAAAGGTTAGATATTTGTGAAATTTTTTTTTAAATAAAAGATCAAAATGATTAACGATGCAGATTTATGTTCACAGCCGCCTTTGATCATATTTACCAAGGGTGCCAATAATTCTGACCACGACTGTACATATATGCTATATATGTACTGTATGTATGTGTGTGTGTGTGTGTGTGTGTGTATAATATATATATGTACATTTTATATTGGCGGTGATTGTTAGTTCCCAGCATGCTTTGCATATGGCTAGATAAGGAAAGTAAATATTGAAATTACTGCTTTTTTATGTATTTTTGACATCTATTAATGATTAATGTTCAGTTATGTTTAACATTCGAAAGAGTTTCTGTTATGTTGAAGTTTCTATCATTACCATTGTGCAGAAGAGTAGAGCTTATGGTTATGGATAACTGCATGTACTGTCACTATGAGGCACGATGCTTTGTTCAATGAGCGGTAACTTTGCTAA